TTAATGAACAGTGGCACCTCATTTTTGTGCATTTAATTTTTAATGTATTTTCGTATGTTTATTTGCCATTTGAAATCTTATTTTGTGAATTGCCTATTTTCCTACTGATGTATTATCTTTTTCCTTGTTAATTTTGTAAGAGCTCTTTTTACCAACCCTTTCCCTTGTAAATACTGTGATGATTTTCACAGAATAACAATACTGACTATCTTGTGTAGCTCAGAAACTTGCTCTGCATGCCAAAGAGGGTAATTCTCAAACAATTTTATAAGATATGATGTGACCTTCCAAGGCATTACTTTGAAGGGGTTAACATTCACTTTGAGGGTAGTTTCTAGTACATTCACTGTGAAAGAAAATCAATGTGTGACTTTGTAATTAAGACTTTAAGCATTTCAGAGTTCAAAGCACAATTCAGTTCTGGTTGTAGGATCGAGTGCCATTGTCAAGAGAAAGTACTTCCTGTGTGTCTTCTCACGCTCCATGAAGCACAGGCCTATTCTCCTTTGCCTTTTCACTTTTTTCATCTGAGACACTTTCAGGTGTATTTCAAAGTGGGTACCAAGCTGTACTTGGCTATGAGATGCTTTATAAGAAAACGATTTGAGAAGCATGCCTATTCTCTCCCTTTTCGTAGGCTGTAATGTGTAATGCTCTGAGAAGTTCTGCAGTGAAGAAGTCAGTCTGATCCAGTACTATTTTGTGAAACACAATTTGGAAAATGCTGGATTGCAACAACTTCCAGAAGCTTATAGAAGCTGCAGAACTGAACAACTTGGTTTATGGCTCAAAAATATACCTCTTCCCGGAACTTCCCACATCTAACATACAGGTGCTTTCAACCACCCCCCTTCAGCCACAGCTCTTTGTCCAAGAATGAGTGAGCTGAGAAACTAGGTACTGTTAAAGTCCTGGCAAAGGTGGGCATTGAGGTATTCTCACACCTGGACGTGGTCCTGTTGTGCAAGGTCCACCTACCACCATTTCTAATTCTTTCTCTCTTTCCTGAACTTCCTCTTCTCCCCCCCCTTCTTGGACAGGGCCCCAATTTCCAATATCCTTCTGAGCCCCACTTCCTGACTTTCCTCCAAAGAGGCACTGCTAATCAGCTCCCCGCTGAGGAAAATAGCAAAGCTATTAGCCTTCCTGATCCGCGGGAGTGTGATACCCAGTCTTGTCACACACAAGTGTGTGAGGGCACTTTCAGAGGCTTCTCTGCCCCAGAAACCGGGCCGGGATGTGCTGTCGCAGGTGAGCAGCAGTTACTGGAGAGGCCTGTGCTCCCTAAAGGCATGAAATGGTAAGATTTTGCAGACTACTACATTCCTGTATCACATAAAACTCTTAATTTAAGAAGAAAATTAATTTGACAAATTTCCAGTGAATGAGAGTGCAGCATTATTTGGAGCAAAATTTAAAGTAAGATCTAAAACCTAAGTATAGTCAGATACCATTACGCCACTCTTAACAGTCATGGTCAAACCCACAGGAGGTCCTTCCCGGGACTTCAGTTCACCTGGCTGGCTCTCTCATGGCGTCCCTCCCTGGTTCTACTAGCAGTCACCCAAATAACATTTCTGAGGCTGCAGCCTTGGCTGTCTTAGTAACAGCATATCAGCATTGTTTTCTGCTACCTCTGAGAGGTGCCTCCCAGACCCTGCCCCAGGCACCACCAACTCTGCGTCCTTTTCTCTTATCCACTCAGTCATGGAGATGCAGCAGGCAAGCCCCAGCACGTCCATGTCCATGGCCCTACTGCCTTGGGTCTGCATTTTACCTGGACAGGAGAGTTCTCCCTCCAGCGCCTTCTCCCCAGGTCTCTGCAGGTCTGAATCAGGATTTGTCTAAAGCCCTAATTTGCTCAGAATATCTAATGCAGAGATGGCAAACAGATTTCATGTTGTTCATTAACTCTGACTGACTGGAAGTGGCTGCCTGGAGTGTTGATCAATTAGCAAAGACTGTCGGGCACGTGCATGTATTATGAATGTGAGTGTGAGTGTGCATACATATGTGGGTGTGTATGTGCATGTAGGGCTGTGGGATTCGAGTCAGATGCTGCGATCCTTGACTTAAGGTGCTCAGTAATGTTTTCTGTCCCTGGAACCCAGGTTAATAAGGGTTTGTTGCCTCAGAACATTCCTCACAGTGGTTGAGAAGCCTCAGCTAAAGCATGTATAATTTAAAAATTCCCTTAAAGAGCCCCAGGATAGGCAATCAGCAGAGCTGTGCTGTGGCTTCAGCCCGAGGAGTGGTAGTCAGCGCAGGAAGTGGTGAGCTCTGACAGCCTGGGAGCAGCATGCTGGATGAGGACAGGGACAGTATAACTCTGCAGAACCCTCGCCAGACTCCGTTGGATGCAGCATGAAAGGCCCGCTCAGCAGCTCCAGCCACCAGATGACAATATGACAACCGAGTGGGCTGAGGTGGCTGGGGTACCAGCCTGCGAGTGTTGAAGGGCATCCCTCGTGGCCCTGACCGGCCCCGGCTTTCACTGGGCTCTTGAAAACATGGAGTCATTCATGATTTCTTCTGCAGAGAAGAGCTCCTCAAGAGAGTCCCTGGTCTGGAAACACGGCCGTTTGACCCCAGTGCATGTGTGATCAAAGGCATGGAGTGTCTGCCTGGGGATAAGGGTGCATGACCTGCAAGAAAGGAAGCCTCTAAAGAAAACTGGCTCCTCAGGAATCACTTGTGGGGCCCCAAGTCACGGGCTCTGGCGACCACCCTCCTGTCGCCTCCTTCACACACCCATTACAGATTAATTTTCTTTTTTTTTTTTTTTTTTTTTTTTTTTTTTTTTTTTTTTTTTACAGATTAATTTTCTGAAGTGCCCTTCTGCATGAAGATCCAAGACTCCAAGGATCTGTCACCTGTTGCATAAAATTGACCATAGCTGGTGCTCCCTCTCCTGGAAGCTCTTCCCCAGATGCCCACATGGCTTATTCCCTTACTCAAATGTCACCATCTCAACTACTCTGTTTTAAATCATCCCCATGTGGTTGGCTGCAAAATAGCCCTTAAAGATATCCATGCCTTAATTCCAGGAACCTGTGAGTGCTCCCTTTTTAGTAAAGGGGACTTTGCAGATATGATTAAGTTAAGGATCTTGAGATAGGAAGCTCATCCTGGATTATCTGGTGGGCCCAATATCATCACAAGGAGTCTCATAAAACAGAGTCATGAGATTTAACTACTTACATGGAGAAAAGGCAAAGTGACAATGGGCACATAGAATGGAGTGGTGCAGGTGTACAAGTCAAGAAGTGCCAGCAGCTTTTAGAAGCTGGAGGAATCCAGGGACAGATTCTCCCCTAGAGCCGGTGGGTAAATGTAAGTGGCCCATGAGAGCCAGGGTGTGGTGTGCCAAGTGGGGCTCTGGTGACTGGTGGGCCCCATCCCACTCCTATCTGCATGGGACACAGTGAGGACAGTGCAGTGTGGAGGTCTGGCAGGTGTGCCTGGCTCGGGGACCATGGTACCCCGTCTCAGTTTTCTTATGCACAAACAGGGAAAACAGCATGGCCCTATCAGGGAGTGTAGCCAGAACTAAGAAAGATTAGTGGTGGCTAATTCATTTTCATTTTAGTGAGGTATTGCTTATTTTGTTTTGTGGTGAGTTGTGTGCTGCTAGTTGACTTCAGGGAAGCAGGGGGGCCTGGGTTTGTCTTTGCGATGCTCCAGGCAGGGGCAGGTTGCATTGGGCCCACTGAGGGGGGCCTACTGCAGAGCCATATTCCCTGGAATTCTGCCGTAAGGTACACTGGCCCTGGCTGCAAGGAGGGCCGGCGTCATGCTGGTGACCCATCTTGACAGGCCCTTCCTCACCACCTGCCAGTGCCTTTCTGTGGTGATGCTGGGTTAGTCTGTGATTCCGAGAGTGATTCCCGGAGAGGCTCTGAGTCCTCCAGGGACTCCTACTTTGCCACTGTCCCCTGGACATGATCAGATAATTTCCTTACAAGTTAGGTCATTGGTGCTGAGAGCAATAGTGGTGCAATCTTAGGGCTAAGTCTGAGAGCTCTCAGATAGATACCAGGCCCTGAGTCTTTAATGCAGAGCAGGAAACCAAGGTGGGAGGTTAGTGGGGGAGGGGGGAGGGGGGTTAATAGGGGGTGGGAGTCTCTAATCTGGCCTCCCCTCCAGTTGTAGCTGTAAAGTCCTCCGGTCTCTATCCCCGCAGCCTCACCACCCCACATACCCTGTGTTCTCAGATCCGGTCAACTAAAGAGTCAGCATGGTGATGCCCTTGCCCTTCCTCCCAGGGTCCTGGAACTCATCCCAGCAAAGTGAGGGTTCTCAGGGAAAAGCCCTCTCAGGGAAGGGCCCTCTCACTTCCTCTTGCTGAGTTAAACTCATCCCTTGCGGGGAAGGCCCTGGAAGACTCAGTCTCTACTATGACTCAGGAGAGGGAAGGCTTGGACAGTGGGCAGGCAGCGGGGAGGCCAGTTTCCAGAGGCGCTGTGGAAGCAGAGCTGTGTGAGCGTTAACAGCTGAGGCCTTGGTGGTGGCAGTGGAGGGTGTGGGCAGGTTGCCCCAGCTCTGACTCTTACCGGCCATGTGCTCTTGACATATGACAACTTTCCCAAGCCTCAGTTTACTCATCTATAAACTGAGGACAGTTAAAAGTACCAATCAGCTAGGAGTGTGGTAAGCCTCATTTACATGAGAATAATTATGTAAATGGATCTGCAGGGTGCCTGGCACGTGGTTAGCACTCATAAACGTTAGCTATAGTGATGACAGCTAGGGTGAAGAGGACAGCTGTGCGTTCTGTGGCCCAAGGACTTTATCACTCTATCCCATGTCACCATGCAGCCGCTCACTGTTTCCCATGGGACGTGGGGAGAGGGAGAGGAAAAAGGTGCTCCAGTGTCCACGGGGCAGACAGGACCCTCTCCCTACAGTCTGCACCCTGCACTTGCTGTCTCTGGCCTGGGCAGCGGATCCAGCCACGCAGGAGCTGGAGGAGAGGTCACAGGTAGTGGTGAGTCCCTTACCTTGGTTGTTGTAGGAAGTGATGACCTGGGGCTGCTGAGGGTGCTGTTTCTCCACCAGGTTTCCTGTAGGAACAAGACAGAGGGAGCTGCAGTGGCCACGGGGACCGTGGTGGAGTTTGTCTGGGCAGAGCAAGGAGCTGTGTGCGTCTGCAAGAAAGGTGGGCTAGTGGGAGTTGAGTTCTCCCCTGGCCTGGCCTAACCGCGGGCACACCCACATGCACATCCCCATGGTGTACGCATGCGGGAATCGGCACAGTTCCACGCCTGAATGCAGAGGCCAGTGACTGTGAACCTGTGTGCTCACACCCTCACGACTCTCAGCAGGCGCCAGCAGAGGCTGGTTTTCTTCTCCATAAGGTGGGGACGGCTCCAGTGGGCTGAGTAACCATAACTCCCAACTTTAGTGTCGCCAGGCTCAGTTGCCAAAGGACAAAACGATGCCTTGCTGATCATCATGCCTTTCTATGGAGCAGGTTGGAAGGCTTCTAGCCCCATTTTAAGCGGATGAGCCTGTAGCCTGGACACTTAACTTCTACCCAACGACCCTGCTGCCAGGGTAGGTCAGACCTGGGATTTGAACCCCAATTCTCCTGACCCTAGCTCATCCACCTCTTCTGAGAAGAGTGGGGGCAGCCTTCCTAGCTTAGGAGTTGGGGTGCCTTGCCCCCTGGGTCAGTTTTGGAGACATTTGCAGGGCATCCACTATGTGATAGCTCTCTCTGTGCACTAAGGGTATTTATGTCCTCAGAACACAGAGCTGTGTTCAGTCTGCTGTGGAGAAATGACCAGTTCCTATCACAGGCCATAAAGGGGAACCCACAGGCTTACCTGACCCTCGTATGGGATGCAACAACTTGTGCTACTTCTTTACCTTAACAGCTGCTATTGTGGCCTGGTTTTGCTGAGGCTGCTTCAGAGGGCTCAGGGGAGGGGCTGGAGAAGCACCAGCATTGTGACAGCAGGGAGTCCCCCCCCGCCACCCCCTGTTACCACCCCACCTGCCACATTCTCCCCGGGCCTCATGATGGTCTGCAGAAAGGCTCTTTGGGCCTGCCATTGGAGGTGGCCACTGGGACCAGTGCCTGGGCCTGGAAATAAGCATGGCTCTGGGGCACTGGACTGAGCAGGTTCCATTCAGATGACTTCGTTGTACCCAGTCAGATCTGCCACTCAGTGCTCCCCACACCTGAGCCTAGGCAGAAGCCAGGCAAGGTGGGTAGGCAGGTCCCTGAGCTGGGCTGGACTTGTGATCCAGCTGGCCGGGTGTTGCCCTGGAGAATCTGCCTGCTCCAGCCTTCTCCTCTGGGCAGGCCCACCCAGGACCCTCACACCCCGGACTGAGGTCGGTGGGCTGGCCAAGGGCTAGGAGTACTGCGTGTGCCAATCCAGGGGGATGCTGGTCTGGAGCTCTAGTCCAGACTCAGGCGAGGACAGGGAGGCCGCCTCCTTCAGGCACAGCTGGCTACATCTCTGCTGGGCTGGCTGATGAGGGAAACAGGATCCGGGAAGGGAATCCTCAAGGAGGACGATTGGCTGGCAGAGCCGCTGTGGGTATTTATAGTCAGGGCTGCACAATTGGTTTCCCTGTGGCTGTGGGGTGTCAGTCCCTGTGCTGCTAGGCAGACTTCAGCCAGGACCAAGGAAAGCAGCCAATCACAGCAGGGGAAGCCCGTTGCCTGGCAAGCTGGTAGGGTTGGCTCGGCCCAAACACCTGTTGCTCGGAAAAGTTTGGAGCAGTCCAGGCTCCCCCACCCTGCCAACGCCCCAGCCCAAGGAGTGCACAGGGCAGCAAGAGGGGGAACATGTGCCTTTTTGGATCAGCTCCATGTTCAGCCACATTTGTGCACACTCCACCAGCACAAGCCATCAGCTGCCTCCTTTGCAGATGAAAGCTGTCCAGTTTCCAGGGCTGGGTGCCTTGGACACCGGCAAGGGAAGTATGTACCCAGAGTCTTACCATCAGAAAACACTGGAAAAAAAGCTGTAATTTTAACATCTGCATGCATCCAAACGTGCAATTTGAAAAATAAATAAAATTTTGCTTTAAATTGCATGTATCGGTGGAGTGGTGCAGTCATCATTTTTCCCAGGCTCAAGGCCTCTGTAGAGTCTCTCTCCAGCCCTCCATTTACCTGAAACTCTCCGTTCTCGGGTGGTTTTGCAAGGACTACTTTAACGATCTTCTTTATTTTTTAAAAAATATTTTTATTATTTTTAAAGTAATCTCTATACCCATGGTAGAGTTCAAACCCAGAACCCCAAGATCAAGAGCCACATGCTCCACCAACTGAGCCATCCAGGTGCCCCATGACCTTCTTTATTTTGTTGTATTTTTCCATTAACTTCCCTCAAACCAGGGACACTAAGGATGGTAAAAATAGGATAAAAGTTCACTCTTTTTCAATCTTCTAATGTAAGAACATGGCTGAGAAGCCAAATTTCAGACAACTTAAGGTGAGTGACTATAACACATAGAAGATACTGTGTCTCTTTCCTCCCACTGCAACCCACTTGCCCACTCACCCAATCATACACTGGCCAAGCAGTGCATATCTGTACCAGCTGCTTTGCATTTCTGCAGCTGATGGGTTTCTGATGGTCTGATTCTTATCATTCTCATGAGCCTGAAGCACAGTTTTGCCAACTTTGGCATTTGCTTCAGTACAGCCCCAGAGTTGATGCATCAAGTGCCCTATGGCCTTGAAACAAGGTTAAAAAACCATCCCACACATATACCCATTAGCCAGGACCCCAAGGGGTGGTCCCCAGGGCAGGGGTATGTCTTAAGGACAACCTGTCCTCATGTACAGGGCAGGGGACACAGGAAAGCCCTTCACCTACAGGGAGCTGAGATTCTATTGCAGTGAAAAGCATTGTGATTATAATCATCAGTGTGGTCCCTTGAGGGCAGCATTCCCATCTGTCTTCATCCCAACAACTGGAACCCTGCCTAGCACAAAGTAAGCCCTGCAGGGCTTTACTAAGGGAATGAGTGAGTGAATCTACTTTCAGAATTTCATCTTTCCCTTTTGTTACTGTCGGGATGGAAGAGTATAGCTGTTTGGTCTTGTGCAATTGGGGTCCTGGTTCCCCAGCTGCAGGGAGTCATGGGGGGATGGTATCTTCACACAGGCATTCAATGAGCCCAGATCTGACTGAGCCCCCATTGGAACTCTGGGAGTGGAGGTCTGATTCTTAGTAGAATCCTCACATCCCTACAGTGCAGTTTCACCGATGTTTGTTCTGGAAGCTGGGCTAATGAATCTGTGAAAGATACAGAATAAGGCCTAGTAGAGTCAGTCCACGCATGACATTCCCAGAGCTGTCCTGGGCCTGTTCCTTGCAGGGCAAAAGATGCCTGGCACCACAGAAAGGAGGCTTTGGAAACTGACTTCTCTCAGCTTATTGTATTCTGGGTCCCAGGCCAGCCAGGAACCATAGGACCCATCTCCCTAGGCCTGGAGTAATAATGTCCCAAAGCAGGCCACTGTCTTCTCTGTTTGGAAAAATTTTCAAAAGATGGCTGCCCTGCATGACGTAAGCAGCCCCACCTCCAGTGGGAACACACTCCAACCTCACCGAGCCGGATGATGCTAAGTCCTTCCCTATATATAGCCAGTGAACAAGTGGGTGCTTAACCTTATGGAATTGCTCCCCTCCCCTCACAGAGTCCAGGAAACTGGGGGCCCTGATCCCAGGGAAAACATTCAGAGTCACGGCAGCCCCAGGGGCTTGGCTGAGTCATGAACAGCTACCTTCTCAGTGGCTAGAGGTCTAGAGCCAGTTTTCAGCCCCGTGAAACCTAATGCTTCCCATCATTTTTCAATGTGTTGATTTACAGAAACGGAAAGGAAAACAAAATGAAAAGAGAGAATTTACCATGCACGTCATTTCCTTCGAATTTCTGCCATCTCCGGATTCCATTTCCGACACCTTGGAGTCCTGTGAAATAACAAGGTCTGGAGTGAGGTTCTCTGTGACCAGGAGACCCAGGTCAGCAAGTGACAGGCCAGCTGCAAACTGGAGTTTGAAGTGGGATGGGTGGAACTTGGCTCCTCAGGATCCAAGGAAGACTGCCCGTGAATGAGATGCACTTTAAAACATTAAATAAAGGGGCACCTGGGTGGCTCAGTCGGTTGAACGTCTGACTTCGGCTCAGGTCATGATCTCACAGTTTGTGGGTTTGAGCCCTGCGTCGGGCTCTGTGCTGACAGCTTGGAGCCTGGAACCTGCTTCTGATTCTGTGTCTCCCTCTCTCTCTGACCCTCCCCTGCTCACACACATACACACTCTCTCTCTCATAAATAAATAGAACATTGAAAAAAGATAAAAAAATAAAACATTAAATAAAAATATTAAAACTGTGGTTTCTAAGGATAGTAGGGTTGTTATCAGGGATGATTTTCACAGTGCAGATCTATCTTCACTCCGCATGTCTACTGCCCAAATATGGAAGCGTTATCATAGAAGATGTTTGCCATTGATTTTGCCTTCCTATTTCTGTATGTGGTGAATCTCCCACTTTTAGAGTCATGATGTGAGGTGGGGGGTGGGCAAAGATGGTCTATCCCTATGGGAACTGCAAGTGATTGTTGCCTGCTTTCCCAGCCTCCCTTGCCACTAGAGCATGGGTATATGGGGCCTAGGCACAGCCAGTCAGATGCACCTGCGTCTGGTTCCATCTTGGGACCTGGTGATGCAAGAGGGAAGGGAATGGAAGTGTGAGCGCGCTCTCTCTCTGGTCCTGGCTGAAAGTGGTGCTGCAAGGTCGAGTTCCTGGCACAGCAATGGCGTATGTTCTGGCAGTGGGAGCAGCTGCAATAAAATCAAGTTCCTGGCGGGGACGGAGTACCTAGGGCTCCTTGTGGCAACAGAGGTTTTCTCACCAGACCAGCTCTGCTGTGCAGCTTTTGGCACTGTTCCTGGAAGCTGGGCCTCCAGGCTGGTTCTCCAGCCCTTTCAACCCCTCCTCAAGTCCCTCTGTCCCTTCCTAATGCTCTTCTGTTCCACAGAGCTCTCCGCAGCCAGGATCCGGCTCAGAACCCTCACTGACATACGTGTAGAGTGGAATACACACATCGCACTGACTTTGGGGATGAAACCTGACATTGGAGCTCTTTTAGATGTGGAGCTGGTGACTTTAGGCCACCTACTCCACGGCTAGGGCGTATGTGACAGGAAGTGAGGGCTTCCAGGCATGTTTTTGAGAAGCACACCGCACAACGGAAAATGATAGGGCCACAGAGGAAAGAGCAGAGAGCATCTGCTTGCAGCCCAAATCCCTGGCACATGCTACCTTTGTCCCCTTGTCCCTCTGACTCTTTTCTGCCACAAGGACACAGCAGAAAGCCACCCAGTCCTCTGCATTGTGACAGTAATGGAGCTCAGGCCCTCCTTTACAGAGCCAAGGACCCAGGCTGCGGGTGGTGGGACAGGAAGAGAGGCCTGGAAGAGGTGTGGGGACCTTTTGGATCTTGTGCACCAACAGGAGGCCTTGGAACAGCTAGTCTAGTTCAGTGTTTCCCTGCCTGCAGCTGTGTGGGCCTGGAGGCTGGCTTAGTCAGGGGTCTCCTGGACGCCGCCATTGCCCAGCAGGCCTTGGAGGCAATGCATGTACACTCTTCTCTACTCTGGGACAGAACTGTCTGGCTGTAAGTAAGTGACACTGGTCTCTACACTGCCGTGGTGCCTGGGAAAGACCTCCGCCGGGAAAGTTGTAGAGAAAAACAGCCGAAAGGGCTCGACTCGGCAAGCAGGGCCTTCTTGCCTCGCATCACGGTCGTGAGTGTGAAATGCGTTGGCCTGGAGTCCTGTAGGGTTTGTGCTAGGGGTCAGACACCTCTGAAACAGTCCTGATCCCTGGCATTTCCGAGGCTTCTCTGTGTTGTTGAAAGGTCCTCTCTTTCTAGTGTTGGAGCCTTTAGGAGAGATGAGATCAGAGGACGAGAGGGAGGGAAGGACTCCTAGGCTGGCCTGAAGCCAAGCCTCGTGGGGGCCCTCTGGCCTCACCACGCATAGGGGGAGGCCCTCTGGACTGCAGTGTCTGGAGTAGAAGCAGCCTCTTTTCTATCAAGGAGCAGAGGGCCTCTGCCGATTTCCTCATTACGAATACCCGGGGTGGGGGGCATTTCCACCTCTCCTGGGAGCAGCTCTCAGAATGCAAGAACCAACTAACCCAAACAACTGGCCTCAAATCTCGCGGGAGGTGGGAGTACCTATCAACATTCTCAGCTCTCCAGAATCTATTTCTTTCCCTTTCTTCCTCCCCGAGAGGTCACAAAGAACTATGGGGCAGGTCCAGTCGGTGTGACTGGTGGGGGCAAAGCCATTCAAGGCACCATTGCTTCAGTGTGGCAGGTGGATGTCCAATGCATACTGGGCTGTTAAATAGTGGTCACAAAGCACTGGCCCGCAGTCAGCCTAGCACACACCTCACACCAGTCCCCAATGAAGACTCCAGAGGGCTTCCTCCTACACCTAGGGACTTCTGAGGGGCTTCTTTGCCATCCCCTATTCTCCATCTGTATTCTTTTCAGTGCGCCCTTCCCTCTGGAGATTACAGAGGCCTGAATGCTGTTTTCCACAACTGCTCTATAGAGTCACTTTATTTTTCCTGCCTACCCTTCCTTCCTCAGAAAGTCTATGGGAAAAGTAAAATTAATAGATCTGTGAGAGCAGAGAGTGCAGATTTTCACCTTACCCTAAGCAAGCCTTTGACACCACCCTTTATGTCTTCTACTGTAGGAGGCTGAAAGAGGCTTCAAGAAGGGGGAAAATGAGGCCATGAGTTGTGCAAGGACACCAAGGGAGCTCCCTGACTCAAAGTCTGATTCAGCACACAGATTCCCCCCGGGCCCCCTGCGCTCTGCAAAGTGCCATGTGAGGAGCAGGCCTCGGTCACTCAGGGGTCAGGACTGAGGCTCTGGTCCCCTTCCTCCCAGGCATCTTCCAACCCTGTCGTGCACCCTTCAAAGAGTGGCTGGGAGGAAGCTGTCTCCCTGGGGGTGACGGAAGCACAGGGAGTCAACCCGGGGCAATCACGGGGCTGCGCGTTGCCACGGGAAGGGACGCCAGTGCCTGCAGAGGAGCAAGGCGAGCAGGCGGCGGTGGGGAGAGGGTCGGTCTCGCTGGCGGGTGGGCCCTGGGGCGAGGAGGCCGAGGTGCCGGGGTCGGGGGCCCGGGCCGGGCGCTCGTTACCTCCTCTGCGCTGCGGCAGCGTGCCCGGGTCAGCCTGCCGGTCCGAGTGCGCAACGTGCGCCGCGCGCCGCTTCTCCGAGTGCACGATCAGCAGCATGTCGATGGACACGGCGTTGCTGTCTTTCTTCAGCTCCATGGTGCCGCCTCGCTCCCCGCCGTTGCGCCGCGGCCGCTCTCGAGGCTGCCTGCGCTGCAAATGGCCCGGTGCGCGCCGCTGGCCGGCGCGGGAGACCGCGAGGGCGCGGGAGAGGGCGCTCCCCCGCCGCCTAGCCGCCGGGCGCCGCGTTTCGCTGACTCTGCCAAACACGCCATTAGGGCCCGCCCGGGAGGGCGCTACCCTAATGAAGCCGCTCTAAGTCACCTTTGAAAGGAAATCCCGGGCCGAGCCCTGACCTGCACCCAGGCCGAGCGGGCCGTACAGCCGCAGGCTCTAGCGCCTCCTACCCAGTGCGCTTGGAGCGCTTGTCCCGGGCTCCAGAGCCGTTCTCCCGCTGGCCGGGCGCTGCCGGGTCCCCGCGGTCTTCGGGGATCCCCGGGAGGGCCCGAAGTAGACTTCCGGAGGCTTCGGCAAACACAGAAATCGCACGGTGCTGTCAACAGTGAGAGTCAATTCGGGAAAAGGAAAAGCGGCACGGGGTGGCCTCACTCCTTCCCAGGGTGGGTTTTGGAGGTTGATGGCTCCCTCTGTGAGAGACAGATGGGTAGGGTGCTGGGGTCCGGACCTCTGCCATTATGGCTGCCTCAGAAGTTGCAACATGACCATTGGGCATCAACTTAACAGTTCTTTCTGGCTTGTGCTGAAAGTCTTAACATCTCTGTTCCTTCCAGAAGCCTAGCTTATGCTGGGTGGGAAAGGGGGGAGGGGCAGAAGAGGAGGCTGGTGCAGGGAGCAGCCTGCCTGCTATGTTCAGGGAGCTGGACCTGAAAGCCCATCTATTTTTAGTGGGGCCTGGCCTGCCCAGCCAGCAGCAGCAACAGGGCCTTTGGCTCCGGGTCTCAGGAGTGTTTACAGCGGCATCTGCTTGCTAGCCCTTGGCACGGTGGGCCCACCCAACCTGGGCCAGTCCCCTAACTTAAGTTTCCACCATTAATAAATGTCGTGCACACGAAAGCCTTTGCTCTGGGACACTTCCTATTGGAGTGTAAGGACCCTACCTTGCAGTGTGGTCCCTGAGAGCCCCTGCCTCCCCCTAAGAGGCAGATTTTACTGTTCAGGCCTAGGTTCCAGTCCCAGCTCTGCCACTCGCTGCCCGTGTCACCGTGGACAAGCCATTTCCTTCCATTTCCCCACCCCTATCATAGGCATGATACGAGTTCTCACAGGGCTGTTGTGAGAACGACGTGCACCTGAGGGGCCTGGCGTGTAGCTAGTGGTCTCCAAATGGTAGCTGACATTCATGCTTCATTTTTTTTTTTTTTTTTTACAAATAGTTTATTGTCAAATTAGTTTCTACATAACACTCAGTGCTCATCCCCAAAGTGCCCTCCTTCATGCCCATCCCCCCTCCCCCCCACATCCATCAGTCCTCAGTTTTTGTCAGCATTCAAGAGTCTCTCATGGTTTGCCTCTCTCCCTTTCCCCCACCATTTTCCCCCTTCTTCTCCCCCTTGTTCCTCCGTCAAGTTCCTCCTAATCCTCCTATACGTGCAAACATATGGTATTTGTCCTTCTCTGCCTGACTTATTTCGCTCAGCATAACACCCTCAAGGTCCATCCATGTTGCTACACATGGCCAGATTTCATTGTTTCTCATTGCCATGTAGTATTCCATGGTATAGATAAACCACATCTTCTTGATCCATTCATCTGTTGATGGACACTTAGGCTCTTTCCATGTTTTAGCTATTGTGGAGAGTGCTGCTATGAACATTGGGGTACATGTGCTCCTATGCCTCAGCGTTTCTGTATCCCTTGGGTAAATTCCTAGCAGTGCTATTGCTGGGTCATAAGGGAGTTCTATTGTTAGTTTCCTGAGGAACCTCCACACTGTTTTCCAGAGGGGCTGTACCAGTTTACATTCCCACCAACAGTGCAGGAGGGTGCCCGTTTCTCCACATCCTCTCCAGCATCTAGAGTTCTCTGATTTGCTCATTTTAGCCACTCTGACTGGCGTGAGGTGGTATCTCAGTGTGGTTTTGATTTGTATTTCCCTGATGAGGAGGGATGCTGAGCATCGTTTCATGTGTCTGTTGGCCATCTGGATGTCCTCTTTGGAGAAGTGTCTGTTCATGTCTTCTGCCCATTTCTTCACTGGGTTGTTTGTTTTTCGGGCGTGGAGTTTGGTGAGTTCCTTATAGATTCTGGATATTAACCCTTTATCTGATATGTCATTTGCAACTATCTCATGCTTCATTTTAAGGGGGGAGGAAAAGGACAGGTGAAGTGACAAGTCTGTGAAGGGGGCCACACAGATATACCCTCAGATTCTGAAGATCTTTCTCCCCAGATTGTGACTCAAGTTTGTCCACCGGTAAAGGCCGACAGCTCGCTGCATCACCACCACCCTGTGCCCCCTGGGCATCTGAGGAAAGGAGATGGTCGCTGGTTTCTGACAGTGTTGAATTGCGGTCTCAAGAGAGCTAAGCTGAGGGACGGTGTAGGTGAGTGACTTCCAAGGCAGATTTCCTCATGCAGTGAGTCCTGTCCTTTGCTGGTCCTGCCTGCATGTGCACACGTGCACGCATGCACTCTCCCCCCCCCCCCCCCCCCCCCCCCCCCCCCGCCCCACGCATACACACAGCTGGGAGGTTGGCTGTGGTTTGTGGTTTGTTGCTCTCTAGATGGCTAGGGAAGTAAGAACGAGGGTTTCTTCAAAGTATCTGGGGTCTTGGAGATTGCCCAGGCAGCATCCCCCATCTGACCTGGGACAGTGTGGCCTAACTCCTTCAAGGGTGTAGGTCCCAACAGAAGTTTCTGTGGAGCACCTCTCATTACTCAATGGAGCTGAGTGGGTAGGGCGGGAAGGCTGAAGCTTCCTTCCCTGAAATTTGCTTTCCCATCCTTGTCTCTTACTCCCCAGCTGGAAGGCATCACTGTGAGGAGCTTGCTCACATCACATCCCATTCCAGAACTGCCTCTGAAGGAGGAGATGATGGGGGAGTGTATCAAAAAAAGGTCCAGGAAGCTGGTCTGGGGGCTTCCTGCCTCTCCAGGATGCCTGAAGACGGATCCTTTGGAGCAGGGCTTCTCATCCATGGCACTATGGACATTTGGGGCCACAGAGTTCTTTGATGTTGGGGGAGAGGGTCCTGTGCATTGTAGGATTCTTAGTAGCATCCCTGTGATTTACCTACTAGATGCCAGTAGCACCCACTTCCCTGTTGTAAGAACCCGGAGTGTGTCCAGATGTGGATATATGTTTCCTGGGTCACAGAAATGCAGCGAGAACACTGCTTTGGAACAAACCCATGAAATAGGGTCTGTGTTACCTTGACTTCTCTGGAAAATGCTGCTGCTTCTGGATCCTGATGAGGCCTAGAGCCTGGACCTACTCTCCACACGTTCCCACCCAGTTCAGTTCCTACTCTCAGTCCAGTAGCTGGTGTCTTAGGCCTGCACAGATGCTCTCTGCCAGCATCATGGGCAGAAAGATGAGATGTTCTCCTCACTCTTCATGTTCCCCCCACCCCTGGCCTCTGTTGACTCATCCTCTCATCCACACTGCCTGTTTTGGCTGAGGACGCCACAGGAAGGCATTTGGATGTAGCTGGAAAGGGGAGGGGAAGCAGGAGAGACCGAGGCTGTGAGGTGTTATTCAGAGGGTCTATGCCTTCTTCTCAAAGCCCCCCTCAACCAATGGGACAGAGAGCAGACCTTCCGCCTCCTTCTGTAGACCCACTTCTTCTACTTTCCCTGCCAACCCACACATGCTGTAGCCATAGGCATGCCCACTACTCCCCAAACATATCTATCTGAACTTTCTGCTTCTAGGCTTTCCTCAACTGGCTAGCCTCTCCAGCCTGCCACCATCTTGAACAACATGGAATTCAAGGACTTCCACATTCTGACCTAACTAATTCATCTGCATCCTTGTCTGAGGATCTGACAAATCAGGGGATATATCCATTCTTGGGCAGACCTTTAATAATTTTAATCACAATGATTTAGAAACTTCAGGAAACCAAAAGACAAAGAGTAGTCAAAAGAGTTGTATTTTTGCCTTTATTCTCCATTACATTTAATGCTCAGACATGTCCTGCTATCATTCACACTGCTTCCACACCTTTGCTTGAAGATGGGATTCATCAGTTGTCCGGATGGTTCTGAGCCCTGAGCTGCCTTGGAGATGGGAAGTGGTTGGCAGGGAGAGGCTTGCTTCTGGCAGATGAGGCTTTCCCCAGAAGGGGTATGTTCTGACTCACATTTTTGTTTTTCCACAGGCAAAGCGGTTCTTCAGGGATCACCACCAATGATAACCTTTTCACCCCTCTAGAAATCCCAGGAGGTAAGTTTTTCTCTTCTCTATAGAAATGTAATAGACAAAGCCAGTACATGAAAGGCTTTTAGCAGGCAATTTGTAGACATGACATGCTTTTCTTCATTGGTGCAGTGGGGAAGGCGCACAAAGAGAGTGGGGCAAATTGAAAAGAGCACAGACCACATCTTGGCCTCTTCACACCCTCGCTTCTGCTGATATGGGCAAACTGTTACCAGATGCCTTTCCCAAAAACCTTTTCGAAAGCTTGTATACGCTTCCTGTGGCATCTTGACCAGCCTGACTTGGCTCATTCCCACTTCTGAGTTTGTTACTGTTGTCACTTCTTTCCAAAATGCCTGTTTGGACATTCTAGGCAAGTACAGTCTAGTCATCCTTCGATGTCTGACACCAGGCCTCACCTCCACCCCGAAGCCTTCCTGATTACCCCGGTTCTTGGAGCTCCTAGAGAATGCTGGCTCTCTATGGTGCTTTATAACCACCCTTATTTCCTTTTTCCTACTGGAATGGCACGGAAATTTAAATGTTAGTTTGAAAAAAAAAAATACTCTTCCAAGCTACATCAGGTCTTTCCTATTTCACAGCAAAATGTATGATGTAGTCATTGCCTGGCCTCAGACCATATTAAACTCTTTGAGGGCCAGGTCATGGTCTTCCTCATTCTTGAGTCCCCTCCCATGTCCCTCTGCCACACTTGTGC